TTTTCTTCGGGGAACTGGGTCTGATAACAGCGAATGCTCTCCAGCTTCCGCTCCAGACAATCGGTGATGTCGTGCACGAAGCTGCCAGGCGCGTCGAGCTTGTTGATCGGCTCGAAGGCTATCTTGTAGTACAACTGTCGACCGATTGTGTGGACCGGCAAGTGATCGAACGTTTCGTCCCACTTCGTCAGCCGCGAATAGAAAACGGCCGCGTCGGTAATCTGCATGGCCTGCCAATGGTCAGGCGAAGCCATCGGCGTACGGTCGCCAAACCCGATGACCACTTTCGGGCGATACTTGCGAAACTCTTTCGCCAACGCGACACGCGCCTCGAAAGTGTCGAACAACTTCCGGTTCGGCAAGTCGAGCACAATTCGCTTCTGCACGCCCAGCGTTTTTGCAGCCTCCATCGCTTCCGCCAGACGCGTTTCCGGGTCCGGCGAACGAGGCGTTGGTTCGCCGTTGGTCAGATCGATAATCCCAACGGTATGCCCCATGTCGGCCAGCTTCGCGAGCGTCCCCCCGCAAGCGATTTCCACATCATCCGGATGAGCCCCAACCGCCAAAACATCAATCTGCGGGTACTCGTTTTCGACATCCACCGTCGACGCATTTAACTCATCAGTCAATGTGGTCTCTCTAACTCCGGTCCCCTCGCCCCCGAGGGGAGAGGGTTAGGGTGAGGGGTTATACGAAGTACCTCCTGCCAGCCCCAAGGGGGCGACCGGAAATAGCCAGGGGTGGAAGCCCCTGGTAGCGAACGTTAGCCCTTCTTCAACGGCTTCTTCGCACTCACGAGGAACGTTGGATTCGAGGCTTCGAAGCGATGACGTTCCAGCTGGTAGGTCGCGTGCGAGATGTTCACCATCGTTACTTTGGCCGATTCCATCTCTTCGTCGAAATATTGATGCACTTCGGCCAGGTTTTCGATGCTGCTCAGGTTACAGACGATTCGTCCGCCCGGCTTTAGACGAGTAATAGCCTGTTCGCAGATACCACGAACTTGTCGCCCGGTGCCGCCGATGAAAATACAATCGGGGTCAGGCAGTTCGGCCCAAGCATCCGGAGCTTTCCCAAGCACCGCTTGAACGTTTTTCACGCCGAATGCGTCGATGTTGCGACGGATCAAACCATGGTCTTCGGCGTCCATTTCAATCGCATAGATCGAACCCTTTTCGGCGATCATGCCAGCTTCGATCGACACGCTACCGCTCCCAGCACCGACATCCCACACCACGCTCGAATCGCCCAGATCCAACAGCGACAGCGCGATGCAGCGGACTTCCATCGGCGTGAGCAAG